CCCCCCCGCCAGCCTGGTTGCCCCTTACTGCCCCCCCCTGCTGGCCTGGTCACCCCCATCTGCCCCCTCTTGCTGGCCTGGTCACTCCACGCAGCCTGCTGTTCAGTCATTTGGTTGTCTCTCACTAACCCCTCTGCCAGCCTTGTCACCCCACACAGCCTGCTGTTCAGTTGTCTGTCCGGTTGTTTCTGTCGTGACAGCCCCTGTTTTTATATATTAGGATATGCCACTTCCCTTCTCAAGAACATATAATTGCTCCTTGTCCATTAAATCAATTTGAAATAGCTATCCTAAGCTACCCCATCAACTAATTTAACTTTCTAATTGTATCTTCCCCATTACATAACACATGCCTCCACTTCAATCAGACCAATTAGAGAGAAAAGGGGAGAGAGAGAGAGAGAGAGAGAGACATCTATGTGAGAGAGAATATCCATCAGTTGCCTTCCAGGAATAGAACTTGCAACCTTTTGGCATACAGGACAATGCTCCAACCAACTGAACCACCATCCAGGGCCATACCAATTTTCTTATGATTTCCTGTAATGTCAAATTCATACTTCCCTCTTCATCCTCATGTTTAATTGAAAAACCTACTCTCTACTTACTCCAATTGAACCCATCAATCCCAAAAAGTACTTGCTTATTCCAAAAGTTCTTCATATTAACATGTCTTATATATTTATAATTTTTTCATTAATGATCCATATTTCCCATGAAATTGAAGAATATGCTGGTGAAATATTAAGTACTTAATATGTGTTGAATTAATATTGAACATTTTATTGTTGGTGTTAAATATCCTAAAACTTACATTCATGTTATGTTTAATTGTTGGTTCAATCACTCATAGGTTTTCTCAGCTACAATGTCCCGCTTTTCAGATGTCAATAACAAGTTTGGTATGTTACTTGTCATTCAAGATGAACTATGTAATTTAGTTTTCATGCTGAAGCCAGATCATTTCACTAATGGCACAGTATAATATTCATTTGATAGTCATATAGGATGCATACTTGCAACAAATAAATACTGAGTAGTGTAAACAGCATAAGAAGAAGACATGATCCTTGCCTTTTCACATCCAGAAAACCACAGGGTACGCAGGGTGAGGGGAATGAGCAGGAAATCACCATGGAGTATGATGAGTCTGAGGGATATGGTAAGTACAAGATACTCTGAAAGCACATACAGAGGACACCTAATCTAAACGCAGGCGTTCAGAAGGGACAAGCTGATCCCTGAAGAGTAGGCATTACCCCAGCAAGCAAGGCTTGAGAAGGTCAGAGGAACCCTGGGTATGATCTGAAAGCAGTGAATACAGGGAAAGTTAATTTAATTTCTTAAAATTTCACTGGCATATTTAGTTCAGATTCAGACTTTCTAAGATTCCAGTTCACATCTTAAAATCTAACAAAATTACCTCAAACCAAAAGGACATGCTGGGTATATTTTTTGAATGATATTTCATAAGTAATTATTATTCCTAAAATATTTGCAAGGGGAAAACTATTTTTCATCCTGTCTTAGGTCACATTCCTAAGAGCTTTCACAGAGGGAGTGCGCTCGGGAGAAGGGATGTGAGAAGTAGGAGAGGACAGGACAAGGAGCTGACCAGGAGTGTGGCTGCAGCGGGACCCACCTTCAGCCAGTGGCTCGGGAGCATGAATTGAATCACAGAGTTGGTCCCACCTTGAGGTAAGAAGTCTGGCTGCTATTAGGGTGGGCACGAGGGAGGATAATCTCCAGGATGCGGAGGCTGTGGCTTCCACAGGGCACAGGAAAAATTTTTTTTATTCTTAACACAGGAAATTTTTAAGGAGAAGGGGAAGCAGTGAGCCATGCAAACCAACATTCAGCGCTTCAGGGGCATGGGTGCAGCTGGGTGTAGCAGCTGGTAAAGGGGATCTGTTTGTCTTGTAAGTCCTCACCTGAGGATATTTTCCCCTTGATTTTTAGAGAGAGTGGAAGGGAGAGGGAGAGACACAGAAAGAGAAACATCAATGTGAGAGACACATCGATTGGTTGCCTCCCACACACGCCCTGGTGGGATTGAGCCTGCACTGAGGTACATGCCCTTGACCAGAATCAAACCCTGGGATCCTTCAGTCTATCGGCTGATGCCCTATCCCAGGGGTCCTCAAACTACGGCCCGCGGGCCACATGCAAATACAAATATTGTATTTGTTCCCGTTTTGGTTTTTTACTTCAAAATAAGATATGTGCAGTGTGCATAGGAATTTGTTCATAGTTTTTTTTTAAACTATAGTCCGGCCCTCCAACGGTCTGAGGGACAGTGAACTGGCCCCCTGTTTAAAAAGTTTGAGGACCCCTGCCACTGAGCCAAACTGGGTAGGCTATTATGGAGATATTTTTAAGAGGCACAAACAGCTCAATGCACTCATGTAACACAAAGTGCACTAATGAGGAAAATGTTGATAAAGTGGGCATTTGTCTTACATAAGCTCTGTAGATGGCTTTTGATTAAGAAAAGTTTTAACACATTTGCATTTACTTTCCATATAGCTTATGTAAACTGCAATTATTTTTAATTTTCAAAAATGAATAAATCTATATTTCCCATTTAATCCATTTTTATAAAAAATGAAAATTAGTATTTATTGAATAATAGCCCTGTGCATTTTACATACTTTATTTAGTCTTACAATCCTGTGAAACAGGTACCTTTTTAAAAAATTGAAATAAAATTCACCACTTAAAAGCCGATGAGTGGTTTTTTAGTGTATTCACAAGGTTATGAACCCATCAATATTATCTAATTCCAGAACATTTACAGCACCCCGAAAAGAAACCCTATATTCATTAGCAGTCAATCTCCATTCCCCCTTCTTGCCAGCTCTTACAAAACTATCCATCTACTTTCTCCCTCTGAAGATCTGTCTATTCTGGCCATTTCATATAAATGGGATTGGGTTTAACTTCTTTTATTTAGCGTAATGTTTTCATCCACATTGTAGCATTGATCAGTATTTCATTCCACTCATCAGTTGATGGGCAGATGGATTGTTTTAACTTTCTGGCTAATTTGAACAATGCTACTATGAACATTCATGCACAAGTTTTTGTGTGGACACATGTTTTCATTTCTCTTGGGTCTATATCTAGAAGTAAAATTGCTGGGTATATGCTAACTATGTTTTACAAGGGACTACACCGTTTACATTCCCATTAGCAATGTATGAGGGTTCCAACTTCTCCATACCCTTGTCAACACGTTAGTGTTCTTTTTACCATAGCCATCTCAGGAGGCATGAAGCGATATTTCATTGTGGTTTTGATTTTCATTTCCTTAATGAATAATGATGTTCAGTATCTTTTCATGTGTTTATTGGCTAATTGTATATCTTCTTTGGATAAATTATATTCAAATTCTTTGCCCATGTTTATTGTTGTATTGAGAGTTCTTTATATATTTTGACTACTAGACTCTTATTAGATTCATGATTTGCAAATATTCTCTTCCATTCTGTGGGTCTTTCTTAATAGTGTCCTTTGATGCACAAAAGTTTTTAATTTTGTTGAAGTCCAATTGGTCAACTTTTTCTTTTTGTGCTTTTGGTGTCATATCTAAGAAGCCATTGCCAAATCCAAAGTCATAAAGATTTGGCCTATATTTTCTTGTAAGAATTTTATAGTTTTAGTTATTACATTTATGTATTTGGTTCACTTAAAGTTAATTTTTGTGCATGATGTGTGGTAAGAGTCCAACTGCATTCTTTTGCATCTGGATATCCAGGTATCCCAGGATCTTTGTTGAAAAGATTATTCTTTCCCCCATTGAATTGTGTTGCACCCTCCCTCCAATATTAATCATTTTCATCTTCTTTTTAAACAGTTTCATGAATCCTCTCATATCACTTCCAAGTCTCCTCTAATTTTTTTATTTTGACATAGCTGAGGTGTTATTTCTTGCACAATACAGCTCTTATACCAAGTTAGGAAATATCACTCACATCCCCTTATAACAACTAATTTTCTCTTCAGATTTGTATCAGCTTGTCAAAGAGTTAAAGGCAAACTTCATGAAAATAATATAATAAGTGTGAATAATTTTTTTTGTAATTCTCATTTTGTGGAGCATTTACATAATATTATTTAAAGTATATATGTGTGTAGGGAAAATGGCCATATTAAAGGTATAGTCTGTTGAGGTTTCCTCTATACAGAGATGATCTATCTCCTGAGCAGATAAAGATGAAATATTATTCATTATATCAACATTTATTGAATACCTGCCACTGCACTATCATCACTGATGCTAGAAAAACTAACAGCTCCTCTTCTCAAGGGACTTACCTAGGAATGGAGAAAGATCAGTAAACCTATGATTACTTACATTCAAGCCCTGTGGCGGGAGCATGTGTTACAGGAGAACAGGGAGCAACTAATTTAGATCTTGAAAATAAAATAAGTTCTTCTAAAAAATGAGTTACATGATAATACATAACATCTTTTGACCCATGTTTCTCAACATGGTGAAGTACAGGGGACCCCCACCCTTTATTCCTTGCTTCTCTGCCCTAAACCACTGAAAGGCAGCATTTCTGGGATAGTCTGCTCTGTAGATACAAACTCTGTATACCCTTGGGGGGTCCCAAAACCAAATTAGGAAAGGGGTTAGGAAGGAAGAGAGTATGCAAGCTGTTCTGCTGCAGAGGTAAAGCCATGTTCTCCCACTGATTTATCTAGCAGTTTCCCCAACAGTTCGAGACTCGCCCAGCCTCCATAGCAGCTTTCCACAGAACACATGCTCAGGGGGCAACTAGGGAATGATACAGGGCACACAGGCCTCTATACATCTCTAATAGTCTCAGTTAGACTCTGGGATACAAAATAAAAAATGTGATGGATTATATAGTCAAAATACAAAATTGTTTATAAATTCGGCATTTGTAGAACAAAAACAAATTGGGAATCGTGTGTCTTTTAAAAACTACATTTTGAGAAAAACATTTGCCCATACCAGTTACTACACTCCAAACCAACAGATGACACATATAACCTGAAGCTAATAAAACTGATGACAGATATATCTATTTGAGACTATGGGCTGTGACTCCCAGACAGCTGGAGAATGATTTACTGGAACAGTTGCTAAATACAGTAGCTGCCTTGATCAACATTACAACAATTGGCAATAACTGTGTCCATAGCAAGGTGTGAGCTCAGGAAACTGGCAATGTCACATCTCAAAGCTAAATCTGTCAAGGGTGCCTATGATGTTAGAGCGAATAAATGTCAACCTGAAAATTCATCTGTGTGACAGCTAACCCTGGAACTGTCCAATTCTCTTTAAACAGATCTGTAATTTTGCAATAGGTACTGAATTGAAAGTATAAAAAGGATATTTAAAAAAAAAATCTTGTCAGCCTTAACGGATATTCAATTCAACATTTTATTTATTTATTTATTTATTTATTTATTTATTTTATTTATTTATTTATTTATTTTGGTGAGAACCTAACATTTGCTAGACATTTGCTTGAACATAAGAGGTTCAAGATTTATGAGATGAAAAGACACTTGGATAATATGCAGACCTTCCAAGAGAAGAATGCTATACTAATAAAAGACAAACATGCAAATTGACCGTACTTTTGCTGTGCCTTAAGCCACACTCACCAGCCAATCAGAGCAACTATATGCAAATTAACCCAACCAAGATGGCGGCTGGCAGCCACGGAGCTGGAGCGAGCAGGAGGCTTGATTGCCCCGGCGATGGAGGAAGCCAAGCTTTCCGCAGGCCTCCACTAAAGGCAACAAAGTTTCAATTATAGAAGGTAAATAAATCCCAGAATAAAAAAGAAAAAAGAAAAAAAGGAGAGGCTGGGAGCTTATATCGCCAGGGTGCTTGGCCAGCCTGAAAACGTCCCTCAGCCCCTCACCCAGACTGGCCAGGCACCCCAGTGGGGACCCCCCACCCTAAAGGGGGTGTGACCAGCCTGAAAACAGCCATCAGCCCCTCACCCAGGCTAGCCAAACCTCCATGGGGTGAGGGTCCCCACTGGGGTGGACATCCTCCAAGGGGTCCCACACCGCAAGAGGTCATAGGCCGGGCTGAGGGACCCCCCAAGTGCACAAATTTTTGTGCACCAGGCCTCTAGTAAGAAATAAATACAGAGAAAATAAACAAGAATGCTAGAATTTAGGCATTGATGTTAGCATTGTTCCTCATTCTATTGTTCTACCTACTATGATGCTACTGCTCTTAGCACTAGCTAAGGATCAAACTAGTGGTTTTTCTCTCACCTCAACTTTTCTCTCTTCAAGAATTTAGCTCTCATTGTTTAAGCACCTGTTAAACAATGAGAGCTAAATTCTGTTCTTTTCATCTATTTTTTAAGAAGTAGAATCGAATCAGAAGGCTACATACTTAACAAGACTCAAAAGGCAGATCTCCCCTGTGACTAGTTCAGATGTGCTTGAGGACCCATGCATTTCATTGTGGGCCATGAAAAACATTAAAGAAAAATTCAAAATTCCAATTCAAAATTCAAGAACAAACCCTAACCAGTTTGGCTCAGTGGATAGAGCGTCGGCCTACAGACTGAAGGGTCCCAGGTTTGATTCCGGTCAAGGGCGTGTACCTTGGTTGTGGGCACATCCCCAGTAGGAGGTGTGCAGGAGGCAGCTGATAGATGTTTTTCTCTCATTGATGTTTCTAACTATCCCTCTCC